AAAAAGTTCAGAAATTCAGTCCAAAAAACCTTCCACCCATTAAAGTGCAATCAGTACTCCAGCAAACCAAATCATTAACACAGGTCCACAGTTCAGCTCAAAGACTCAATCTGACTTTAGAAAAGCAAAAAGAAATGCACTAACACAAGTTACATATAGACTGGAATCACCATTTCTTTTACTATTGACGAAATATATGCTACAAAATGGCAGGATAAATTGTATTATCATATATACTCTGCTAAACTCCGAAAAAGCTAAAAGAAAGATGTGCATATGCCTGAAAAAAAGGTTGGAGAAGTAATATATATTTAGAAGAAAAACTGTCTCTTCATAGTGCCTGCATAATTTTTTCTTGCTTCTATTTTAAACAGCTTTGATGAGGAATAAGCCAACGTTGTGTCCATACTGGAAACAGCTGGCTACATGCATGGGCAGAGTGGACTGCAGAATAATGCAGGTCTCCTTAGGATTTGGAATTTCGCTGGGTCCATAAGGATCCAGGGATTAGCTACATCTGTCTGGCTTAAATTATGATGCTGAAAAGTGCAATTTTAATATGAAAGGTGACAGTCTTAGGCAGCTGTTCCTTCTTTTCATTGCAACTAAATGCAATGTGCTTATATACCACCTTGCTAAATTATGTGGTAAAGTGGGGGTCTCTTGGTCATGCTTTACATAATGATCGCTATGGCTGCATAAAGAGGAATGGAGAAGTCATGCTACATACCTCGGAAGGCACCTGAGTCTTAATGCATTCTCATTTGTGAAAGAGGTTGAGATAGAAAAGGTGCCAGCAAAGCTGAACTAAAATTTTCAAGTGCTTCAAATTGGTCATCTGAAACCGATAATTCTATGCCTAAATAAGTAGCTTGATTTTCAGAGGTGTTGAAGTCAACAGCTGTGGGTCTTCATCACTCTGAAAATCTGATAATTTATTCAGAGCTCTAAATACATTTTAGGTAGCTATCCTGAGGCACCCATCTTGGAAAATTTTGTTTCCAAAGAATGATTATGAAAAACAATTTTTTTTTCTTTTTCTAAGACATTCGACTTCTCTGTAGTTACTTGATTTTAGGTTATACTTGTCTGTACTGACTTTTCGGTAGCAGATTTTGTAATCTTTCAACTTAAAATGAGGTCTTCAGTGCATTTTATGTGAAGTTTGGCCTATTTCTTATAAATTATGCTGAAACTCATTGAATAAAGATTTTTGCAGACTCATGCAAGTTTGAATAATTGTACGAAGCCTGCTTGCAGAGAAGGGAGAATATTTTGTTCTTTGAATATTTCACATCTTGATCTTAATATTTGAAATGAGAAAAAACATACTCAGATGAAAGAAGGTATTTCTGCAAAAGTCTCTGTTATGTATCATTAGATAAAAAAGTTAAAAAAATTAAGATCCCTGTTAGTATGAAAAGGATTTCTGTGATGTTTAACTAAAACAGAGGAGCCTGAAAACAGGTAAACTTTTGATAGCTACAGATAAGGTGAATTCCTGCACCTGCACTCTGCTTTGTTCAGGTGGAGAATGGAGTAAATTGTCCATTGAGAGTTTATATCTGTCCTTGGGTACAAATGATTTAATCTTTGCATGTGTTCCCATTATGAAAAATCTTACACGGTTCTATTTTATATGCAATAATATCAAGAAGATTTGCCATTTAGTTCAGCAATAAATGAAAAGACATCCATGTCTTTTTCTTAATAACTATTGAATTTTACTACTTTTTGCAGATGAAAATAGAATGAATATACCTTGTTTGCTGTCAGTGACTACCAACACTATGGAGACTATCAGATATTGAATACCTGTCATACTTGCATGGAGCAAATTCCATTGAAGATTACCTGAGAGATAAATGTGCTTAAAATAATTCAACAGAAGTAATTCAGAGGTATTTTAGGTTGCTTATGTTATATCTATTCCTTTTCCCTGCATGCCAGGGGAGGCACACATATCAGGAACTAGCTATAGAAGAGGCATCCATAAAACTATTAAGGAATATAAATAGCCACACATTAGGTCTGGATCAGTTAATGACAGTGCACTGGAGTACTTGCAAAGATACTCCTGCTATGTGGAACTACTTCTTTTCCGTGAAAAAAATGATCATCTAATGTTTGTACATAGAATGAAGATTTATTTCACATAATAGAAACGAGCATTCAAAAACAGTGCTTTGAAAATTCATTTCCTCTTCTGAGGACAAATGGCTTTTTTTCTTTTTTTTTCCAAGAAAGTGTCTTTTAAATACTGTTAACTATGAAGTCCTCACTTCTTAAACCAAATAGCTATTACTGAAAAATGATCATAAATGGTTAATATGGAACTTGTCGCTTTAATATCAGAAGTTCAGTCAAATTGTTTGATAGTACAGTCTATGGAATTGTAAAACAAGGATTAATAAGTTCATGTTTCTTATATATATAGGACGTCATTTAATATCCCCCTGCCAGAACCCCTGCTGCAGCTGTGAGCTGCTTAAAGCAACAGATTGAGGTAAGAGTCAGGAAACAGGCCACAGCTCTCTGATCTGCTCAGCCTTGACTCAAGTTCTGGCACAGGTTAGCGAAGTCTTGAGCCGCTCTAACCTACACCAGCTGGGCTCAATTTCAAAGCGACCTTCAGCCAGGAATAAATGGCACACAGCAACACTCTTTCTCTGCCCCTCATAAATGCCATACGTGTGGATGGCACAAGCTGTCCATGCTGGTTTTAGGCTAGCAGGGGCCAGCCCAGGCTCAGGGGCACATCCAGCTGGCACGGTGCTAGGTCCTGTACATAGCACTGGTGCAAAACGATGAGAGCAAGGGAGGAAGTCCTGCCCTCTGATCCTCTTACAAATTTCCACTACAACTCAGAATCCTCATCATCAGGATTTTTTCTCTTTGTTACCTTTTTGGCATCTTCATCATCGCTGTCAAGCCTACAAGGCTTCCTATCCCATTAATATAT